GAACCGTCCTGCAAGAAATACGCTTATTTCACCACGTCATCAACTGAAGCAGTAAAAATTTGCAAATTTACCTATGGGAGAACTTATTTTTATTTTTTTCTTTATTTGAAAAGAAAACAGAAAGGAAATTTAATTTTGAATGAAAATATAAAGTACATACTTATAAAACTTATATAATTACTAGCGTGTCAGGCAAACGTTGTCTTGCCTAGCAATGTTGTTGATGTATAATTTTCGGCGTTCTAGGTTTGTTTTTATACCCTCCCCAATATTGTGGATTGCACAAATTTTTGTAATACCTTGGTATTTATCAGATCACACTTAAAGTAACATTACAGTACTGAATATCTACAATTTGAGGTAGATGAGTAACATTACAGTACTGAAAATCTACAATTTGAGGTAGATGAACGAGTCATTTTGGTATTTATACACTTCACCACACTGTGGTACAGGATATTATGTCATTGTGCATATGTTTGTAACAGGCAAAAGGAATCGAATATGATCCGATTTGGATGAAATTTGGCACAGTTCACTTATTTGACCCAAGGACGAACCTTATTGAAATCGGAGAAATTCGGTTCAGATTTAGATAAAGCTCCCATATTTTGTCTGATCGGGACAAACTTTTTCATAGAGTACTGAATTATTATCAGACTGATGTCTGCAACGGTTCTTCAATTAGGTATATATATATATATATATGCACGCAATTATATATTGCTCCCATACATAAATGGTACAACAAAGAATTCAAGTCTGCCCCTATGATATGCAAGTTTTAAGTGATTTCAGAATGGTATGTGTATGGGTTTTTTTAATTGGTTCAAATTTCTATCTAGATAGCACATTTAATTTCGCCTGATTCCATCTCAATGGCCCTTCAAAGATTCTATGCCAGTTCTATCTACAGGATATTGTAGATATTAACATCTTTTGTATGTACCCTTACTGGTTTGTCTTCCAAAGTTTAACGTTAGCGCAGAATAAAGCTAGTTTTTTGTAACATCCACGATTTAAAATACAACTTTGAAATTTGCACATACATTTCTACTACTTACATGATATTTGATATTTAACATGTTCAATTTTGGTTTCCTTTTAAAGGTAGGCTTCATAAAACGGACACGTTTTTAAATCTAATCGGCTGTAATTTGGCGTTTAGTTGTTTTATATGGTAGATTGAATCGTACTAAAATGATCTATATTGCTCCACTCTTTGAGGTAGCTCCCATATAACTATACCCAAAATATTCGGTATTTTAGATAGTTTGTACCAGTGTCTCAACCAAAGTGGCTGCAATGTTTTATTTGGTCCAAATTTTCTCATAGAGTTGCAAATGTATTCTGATTTTCATCCTTGCATTCTATGCACAATGTTTAGGGGAGAAGGGGGGCATCTTTTGAACGGGACACCTTTGAACAGCGTTCATAAAATCTTGGTTTAAATTTTTACCGACCCGCTACCACATTTTTGTATATGGCAATTTTGTTCTTTATCTGCGTAAACCACTTTGGCTAGCTTTTTCAGTTGTCGACAAATTGTACATGGGTGACCATGTTTTCGCAGTGTAATTGTAAACTTTTATTCTTTTGGTTGTAAGGGCGCAGGAATAATTCTGTGAAAGTTTTCATTCGTTAAACAATTTTTTTGCATTCCAATAATCATTTCAAACATAACTAATGTAATTTCTTTCATATATATTTATTACAAAAAAAAAATTATTATACATTTCCGTAAAATGCCTCGGGTGGGGCAGCTTTGAACATCCCCATTAAATTCGAGTAAAAAACGGAGTTTTTAACTTTTGGCTTCGATTTCTCAAAATTTTAAATGGGATAATAAGACTACGAAATTAACTGTATTTTTCACTATATAAATTTTTGTTTTTATGTCATTTTATGTTTTAATAAATTTTGATCTGAATTTTTTAATTTTCGAAAATTTTTGTATATATTTTTTAATAAATAAATGCATTTCTGACTTGCATTCTGACTTCAAAACTGCCCCCCCCCCCCTGGTGGGGCAGTTTTGAACACTTTGACTTCGTCCATTAAAACGGTAATAATATCATAGCTTAAAGTATGTCATATGTATATTCACATTAAAGGTTACATATGTACCTATTAGCTAAAATTTATAAGAAACCAAAAATTATAAAATAAAAAATTTTATAAGGCTTGAAAGAAAAAAGTGTTCAAAGTTGCCCCCCTCTCCTCTACATACAATTATCGCGTGTACATTCAATGATATTTTCTCAATTATTTTTTGAATTCTCACAAAAAAAGTTTCAATACAATGTCAATTAAGTTGAAAAACAAATTCAAAATTTTCAATAATTGACAAATGAAGGCTTAAAGGAATGGATAAGCTACCAATATTTTCCCAAATATATCAAAATAACAACTACGACGTGGTGCAATCATAATAGCTCGAAACTAAATTCGTGGAAATGAAAATATGCTTCATAATATTTTTTCGCAAATTTTTGATATTTGTAAATGTTGATGTAAATGTCAGAAGAAAACGTTATAACGGAATACACCTCGCTATGTTACTAGGGTGATTTTTTTATTGAAATAAAAATAGCATACTTTTTTATTGATAACATTTAATTAGAACTTATCAATCAATTTAAATATAAACTGGATAAATAAGTGAATAATATATTCGTATGTCTATCAGAATTATTTAATAGAATCTTTCGAAACATTGTCATTACATAAATTGTATTTTAATTACTACAATTAATTTATAATACCAGAAAACATATTTATTTGTTCATATACGTAAATAGACATGTATATACATACATAAATAGGTATGCATTATCGGAATATGACACCCTCATTATTATGACTACCTCTTTGGAAATAATTTCAACAAGTGACTTTGTAACCCATTAATCCGCAGGTGTCTCATCTGTGTGCTTCCGCTTAAGATGCATTTCTTATGTTCTAAACAGCTTGACGAATATTACCCGGCAACAGGCAACATTGCTTTGCCATGAACGACACAACACCCATTAACGGACTGTTACATTTGGCGCCGTTTGTGGCGTAAATGTTCACCTCCCGGTGTCGTGATGCATGAAGTTAAGCATTCCAGTCAGTGCATGATAACTCTACTTAACTATGCATTAAAGTAGTGAAAAGGTCCGTTAAAACATTCATGCCGGTGGATTTATTTGCAAGCATCACCATTTCCCCAGAGCGATGGAAAACAATGAACTTGCTCTACTCGCTATGGCATCCACAAAGTAACAAGAAGCATACCGCACCAGACCAGTGGCAAAACATTTATTGTTGAGATCGGACAATCCTTTGGCGTTATATTTTTTCTTATACGTTATGATTGTAACCTTATAACCTTATTCCGCCAGTGACAACCCATGAATGGAACGTGCAAAGCAAAATCATGTGTAAAGAAATGAAATCAAAGAAAGCCGAACAGCAGCATGAGGATGCAGAAAACCGCCTTATCCCAAGAAATGCTGTGAACTGTAAGAATGTCGTGAAACCCCTACAGGTTATTATTTGACTGCCGAACAACAACAACACTTTCGCGGAACAAAATAGAAACCATTGCTGATTTTTTGTGTCGTCGTTGTTATTGTTGCTGCCGATGCTGGTCGTTGTTAATGGTTGCGTTAAGTAATAGCGGTATTGTTTAATAACAAGGACTTTGTTGACCACAATGGGCGTCGAATGTCTGAAACAAAGAAAGTACATGAAAGAAAGATTTGAAATTGTTTGTACTTTTAAATTATAGAGAACAACTGCATAAAAAACAACACGAACAATTTAAATTTTTTTTAAATTTTAAACAAAACAAAACAGAAACTAGACAACTTCCTAAATTTAAAAACAGAAATAAATGATTGAATTTATATGAATAATACTCAAAAATAGTTCGAATGGTTTCTTCAAAAGAAACTTCTGTTCAGGTTACACAACATAATGATGCTGATACTGACAACATTTGACGAAGATGGTTACATGGTACAATATATATATATATATAAGAGCAAATTAGCCATAGGTCAAATCATCATTCAAATTGAATTTCGTTCTCGTTTGGTTTTCATAAAAAAACATTAAATTTATAAGTCCGACAGTTTTTTTGTTTTCCTTTTTTTGTATACTACAATTTATACGAAACGCATTAGTGCACATAAATATACGGTTTTCTGAGCAAGGATCGGGTAAAAGAGGAAAATATCAATGAAAACCATAAAAATATCGATTACCCGCCTTTGAAGACCTTACCTAAATTTATATAAGCGACATTTTTGTAAAATATTTGAATGCAAAAAATGTCCAAATAAGGAATCGAGATAAAAGGAAATCTTTCTCATTCAATTTTACTTCAGACTTGTCACTTCAAAAATGTCCTTCAACAGCAAAGTAGCGAATTTGCCTTTCGGTGTTCATAATATACTCGTCAAGGGCTTTCACACTTAAAATTAAGGTCTTCTAATTGTAGAGAACATATTTATCCACAATTTAATATATTATATTCATACATAGTTGCAGTATGAACTAGAAATTGGAGAACATATTTTTCTCAACATTATTTGTAGGTGTAGGTGAAAAGCAATCAAGGGAGGAGAAGTTACAAACCTAAAAATATGTAATGTTTTAATTGAATATCGTCAAAATTCAAAATACAACATACCTTTTTATCCCAATATGACCTTGTTACAAGCAAATTGTAAATTTTAAGAAAGAAAATCATATAAATTGCAAAATATTGATAAATTACAAATATCGATTCAAATGTTCATGCATTACCGGTTTAAGAAAATTGGCCAACATTAAGTGGTTATCAAACAAAAATCAAAATAATTTGATTTTATTTTTCAACTTCTATTCTTTATTAACAAATCGCAATTAGTATTTGTTTCATATTTATAACTATCGATATTTCAGAATTTTGAGCTATTATTATTTTTATCATAACATTCCTTCTATTTTTAGAATAACCCGCCCACAAACACACACACCATTGTAAAATGAATCATGAATTGATGTGTAAACTAAACATGCACGACACTCAGGTGATGGATTTGATGGCATCCCATGATTTCGTTCAACAGCAGCAACAACCTCAGCCGCAGCAACAACAACAACAACCAATGCTCAATTATACAATGGCAGAAACACAAACAACACCGCCAAATGCACCACCACATACCGATAATCCGGATAACAACAGATCTTCAAGGCCAATAAGACGAGCCAGTCGCCGAACGCCACAGGTATTTACGTTCTTTATTGACAACAATTATGCGGATAGATTCGAATACATTTTCTTTTTGTACATATCGACACCAACACACGCACACACCCACACACAAGACCAACGTTTGGATAACGAGGGTATGGAATTCATAAATGCCTGCATTTGATGGCGAATATTCTCGTATCGATAAAATTTAATCCTTTCATATTCGCATTGCACATTGGTTTGAATACGACAATAGTTTTTTAAGAGATAAAAAAAGACAGTGGAAAATAATAGAAATTTTATTTTTATAGAAACAAAAAAAAAAAAATTTTCAATGACTGGAATTTTATTTTCAGAAATCAAAAACCTAAGACCCGTACCTAAATTCAGTGCGTTGCGTAGTTAAATACCCACCTTCTCACCATTATTGGACCTTATTTACTTGTGTGTCAATTGGAAACGGCGAAAATGGATGAAAACATTTTCTTAATTAACCGAAAAATATTTACATTTATAAACCAGTGAGCGGAGCAGTATAGTCGGACGGGGCCGACCATACGATACCCTACACAACTACCACGAACTCTAACTTTCTGAGGATGTTTATTCCGAGTCTGAGTAATATTTCGTGATATTTGCCCCCTCTTGTCCGATTAAAGGTTAACAACACCTCTTCCTTACTTTTTTCGAATATTCAGTACAGTCCTTCTAATTACTTGTCCAGATTACCTTCCCGGTGGGTGTGTTGTGATTTTCGGATTATACTCTACTCGAAAATGTTTTCGGTCCATTTCATCCCAAAATTTTAATCTGATCATCACCGAAAATTGTAGGCGTTGTTCTTGACCATAACTGGAACTTCATGAAAAATTTCAAAGCCATCAGCGCGATATTTCTCCCTCTAATGTGGTAATGGGTTACTAAATAATATCTGAATACATAAGCACCTGTAAACATTTGACTGTAACTCCCACATCTGAGTAGATACATCACTATATTTGGTATCAATTTAAAGGCCAACCACTCCTCTTGGATATGCTATCAACTCCTGGGGTTTACATCCTCCAGGAGTAAATATATATGCCATAGAATACAATTTTTTTCATTTTTCACACAAAAGTCAGGGTCCATTTGACCCGCTAAATATTGGCCAATCTTTATCAAAACATGCATGCTTATTCTCTGGCCCGATCCCCTTCTCCATGCAAAAATTGGGCAAACAATTGGGTGTTTGGGCAATAATTGTGTCCTCTGGAGCGACCAGAAAAACCGACAAAAATTTAGTATTTGGTCCATTTCATCCCCTAAATATTGACCGATCTTTTCCAAAAACAATAGGGGTCTTCATTGGCCAGAACCCATCCTACATGCAAAATTTCGTGAAGATTGGTCCATAACTGTGGCCTGTATCGTGTTTACAAATTATAATGGACAGACGGACGGACACACATGTCTAGATCGACTCAGCTAGTCGAGATATGACGATCGGTATACTTAAAGGTGGGTCTAGGACCAATATTTCGCGGCGTTACAAACATTTGGGGCTGCACAAAGCTATAATACCCTGACAACATAGTTGTGTAGGGTATAAAAAACAAATTTTTCAATGACTGGAATTCAATTTTCAAAAATCAAAAACCTAAAATACGCATTGACAATGTTGACAAATTTGAACTTTACATTTTGATGCGCAATGCGAATTTTGGTAACATTCATTGAAATACATGTATTTAACTTTTGAGGTGAATAAAATCGTACGCATACGCAAGAATTTAGGTACGACCCTAACACAACTTTTTCGCCGTTTTCAATTGGCACAGATGCAAATAAAGTCCTTGCGTATTTGGGTAATGCGGACGTCTAACAAATCCTATAACAGTGAGAAGGTGAGTAGTTTTGTATGGAGCGCAATAAATTATTGTTTATTGTCGATTTGAAAAATATTGAAAAAAGTTTTCTTAAAGCGTAATGAATTTTCAACATATTAAAATTTATTGTTGCTAATCCTGAATTTAGAACACTGAATATTTATAATTTCTTTTTATAAATAATAGAAATATGGAAAATATATATGTACATATAAAACGTGTGAACAAATCCTTCTCTATACATACGAATATCTATGCACACACACAATTATGTATGTCTTCCGTATCTCATTCGAATTCGATTTTCAGTATATTTTGATAAATATGTATATAGATTATTATTAGTTTTCGTTATCACCACCATTCCGTTGATTTCGACTATCTAGACTTCGAATCACTGTTGTGTGATAAAAAGAAAATTATTTGAATTGGCATTTGGCGCGTGTGTTTGTGTTGGTGTACACATGAATTCTTGACAACGTTACGTATTCGTATTTATTTGAATTTTAAGTTACTATTTATATTGAAAGTTGACAATTTACTTTATTCTTTATATTTTTTCTCGTTGTTTTCTTTCGTAATTTCTTGGTAAATTGTTTTGGCGTGGCTGTGTGTGTACGTTGTGGTTACTGGATTTGTTCTTCGTCTTCTTCTGTTTCGTTACAAAGCAGTTAAGCAATAATTATGATATGGAAATGACAGATTCAAGTTCGCAAAGCGATGACACCAGCGGTGGGGGAGGCAGCAGCAATGGCGGCGGCAGTGGTGCACGACCTTCAAGTCGTGGCAGAAACTCATCGGGTACCAATTCGAATCGCCGCAGGAAGGGTACACTGAATGCAAAAGAACGCAACTTACGTCGTCTGGAATCCAATGAAAGGGAACGAATGCGAATGCACAGTTTAAACGATGCCTTCCAGGTATGTAGTCTATTATTTTCTATATATAGCAAACCAAATGCAAGTTGAGGAAATGGCAACCCTTAACCTCTCTCTCGTCTACAAACTGAGAAATTCCGCAAGACAATTTGTCCTACTTTGTTCCAGAACCTGCAAGAATTGCCTATTATTCGAAATTTATAAATTTTAAATGTTTCCCCTTTATGAATTGGAACAGTTTTACCACTTTTTGATACCGGTACAGACCAATAAATGGCATATCTGGTGTTCCTGTAATTTTTAATAGTAAAATATCTTAACAAATGCAAAACTTGATGGGAGTGCTTCAAAATTGAATTGAATATTGTAAGGCTATTTACACTTATGTTCCATTATATTTGTCTACAAATTAAACAAGTTTTATGGTTACGGAAACATATTTCTTGTAAGCATTTGTAAAATAAAGGAAAACTTTTATATTATGTTATTCATGAAAAAGTAATACATCGGGGTTTCATTTAAATTAAAATACTCAAACAAAACTTTTCGTATGATTACTAACTTGCTATACTAGCATGGAAATCATACGCAACCATGCACTGAATGAAACTTAATACATATTTGAATTTTTTAATTAAGGGGACCCCCCCCCCATTCTCGGGGTCAAAATTTTTGTTGACTTAATTCCAATCTACACTAATTCAAGAATGTCCCTGCAAAATTTCAAGTAAAAATCTCAAGAACTCTTGAAGATATAACCGATTTATTGTGTCAGCATCAAGTGACGGCTGAAGGGCTTCTCAAACTTTAAACGCGTTTTTCTCTAAACATTTTTTTGCGAATGGCGGGCACGATAACTCAAAAACTAATAACCCAATCGATTTCAAATTTTTACACGTTTCTCTGTGAGTGTATAGCTATCGTATGAACTAGGATAAAGCCAATCGGTGAAGATCTTCCTTATTTTTTAATTTGGTTTTTGGTAAAAAATCGGCGTTTTTCAACAAATATTTTTTCAAAGGTCCGCCATTTTGTTAATTTTAGAGCGAAGTCAATAATCCTAGTTCATACGAGAGCCAGACATGTACTCTTTCTAACACCGTTGGAATTTTCGGATTCCGATGTTCCAGTGAGGAGTTATCATGCCCGCCATCAAAAATAAGGAGTTTTCTTTGATCACAAAAAACAACAACAAAACAACAACAAAAATTTTTTGTAAATTATTTTTCTTCCTTTTTAAATCTTCGGCAGAATGGTGTACATACACAACAAATCGTTAAGAAAACATTTGGTCGAAATCGTTGGAGTATTGTAGGTTACCATAAGAATCCTAAGATCATATTTTGTGTTGGTGTAGGGTATCATATAGTCGACCCTATCCCGCATTTGTTCTTTTCTTGCTGGTTTCATATCACTAAAAATACGATTTTTTACCAATTTGATCCACAAAGAAACTGACAGAATAAATAATTTTCATATTTACCATAACGACTGAAAAATACTTGTTTATTTACGCAAAACTATCACTTATTGTCTATTACAGTCCCTGCGTGAGGTAATACCACATGTTGAAATGGAACGTCGCCTATCGAAAATCGAAACACTCACCTTGGCTAAAAACTACATCATCAACCTGACACACATCATACTGGCCAAACGCAATGAAGAATCTGCATTAGGATTCAATGGTGTGCTGATGAATGGCAATGGAGCCATTGAGAATGCCAACATCAACAACGGTGTAGATCCAGATGTCAATATTTTGGGTCTCAATACTGGCAACGCTAATGTCAATGGTAATGGCTTGATAGCCTTGAACGGCAACTGTTACGATGATTCGCCACTTACCAATGGCACCACCTACAATTGTACTCTGCTGGCGGAACACCATCAGAATGGCGCTACCCCACAAGCGCTGACCACAGCAACTACCACCATACAGATACAGAATCAGCCACTGAGTCATATGCACCATCAGTCTCACCACATTATGATCTCGAATCACAATCAGATCATGATGCCACAACAGCAGCAACAACAAAATCCATCGGTACCACCTCCGCCCCAACAACAGCAAACACCAATCATAATGAACGGCTACGGAGATTCTACGGCCGATAATAACAATTTTGACGAACCCTTCCGAGAATTTTTGTAAGAAACGATTCCTCTCTTAGACGAAAAAACAAAGTCCACAGAAAGATGTCAACGAATGAGTGTCTAGACTTAAGGCTTATTCAAATCCCATTGTAGCAAAAAGATCGGAAGCAGCTGCTGCACATCTCAAAAGTCACCAAATGATTACAAAACAAACAAATTAGCAAATAAATAAATTGATTATTGTATTAAATTATAAATAAATAATAAATAATAAATAATAATGTTTATTACAACAGTAACGAATTAGTTGAATAAGAATAGCAGATGTAGATGTAGATCACTGAAATGTTAGAACTTGGAATGGAAAACAAAAGGGAAGACCCCAAAACGCTTCCAGCTCGAAAGTAATTGTTTGCAATTACGCCAAACGAAAACAAAACTTACAAATGTAAAAACAACAGCCAGTAATCGATTGTGTTGGGAACGTAAAATATATTTCAATAAATGGTTTTGAACTTTCTAATCTGTTCGGATTTGTTTTGGATTTATAGTGTCATTTTAGCTAAGTGTGCGATGACGGTTTTAGGTTATGACGTCTCTGGACGCCACTCTATACTTTGCAACAATTTCAGCTTTCGCAATAATTATCATCGCAGATTAGGATAGATTCGGATTTGCTAATTTCTGTTTTAGGTTGTTATCGGTGTTTATAGGTTCTTAAAGACCTAAGGCGTCATAATTTCTTTTAGGAATTAAAGTCCATGGCGAGTGTGTGAAGAAGTCCGGTGGACATATTTACTATAGGGCTTTATCATAAATTGACCTATTTATGACAACAGTCGAAACATGGCTATGGTTGGTCGATAATCAAGCCGGGTTTTCATTGTTGATTTATGCACTCAAAAAAAAAAGTTAAATAGAATTTGGAACTTAACACTAGATTTCCGAAGGCGGTCAAATTTAAAAAAAGTGTCATTATATACACATTTGTTTTTGTACTTTAAGGGATGTGTCAGCATCAAGTGAGAAAGAAAGAGTACATGTCTGGCTCTCGTATGAACTCAAGTTAAAAAATAGGGAAGATCTTCACCGATTGGCTTTATCCTAGTACATACGATAGCTATACACCCACAGAGAAACGTGTAAAAATTTGAGATCGATTGGATTGTTAGTTTTTTAGTTATCGTGCCCGCCATTCGCAAAAAATGTTTAGAGAAAAACGCGTTTAAAATTTGAGAAGCCCTTTAGCCGTCACTTGATGCTGACACAATAAATCGGCTATATCTTCAAGAGTTCTTGAGATTTTCATTTGAAAATTTGTAGGGACATTCTTTAATTAGTGTAGATTCGAATTATATCAACAAAATTTTTGACCCCGATAATGGGGGGTCCCCTTAAATAGAAAAACGGTCCAAATGACCGCATTCGGCAATCTAGTGTTAATGTAATAACAGAATTTGTTATAATTTAATTTAAATAAAAACATAAGTTCCTTTCCAGAACCTAAAAGAATCTACTAATTTTACAAGTTTTGCAACTTTTTACTCGACAACCGTTCCTGAACATAGGTGCCCATCAGTATACTTTAAAGTAGCTGCCTACTCAGACGCATTGTTATGCTCTTTCAGTCAGTCGTTGTTTGACAGGCAACGAATGAACACATACTGGGGTGCGCGCACGACGTCGTGTCCGCAGAACCAGAAAATCAACGAAATAACACTTAGGGATAAAAGTGTTTCAGTATATTTGGATTTTTATTTTATTATTCAAAATGCGTTTTGTATGTTTAAAAAATTTTAGAAACAACAGAACAATTTCTGTTTTTTTTAAAGAATTAAATATTTGATAATTGTCGTAGTATTTAATATTATAATATGATTATTATCTCGGTATATGCTACTTTATAAACTTTATTATATTTTTATGACATATACACTTTGTAATTCATATAAAAACATTTTTAATAATGCTTTTATTTTATATAATAACAAAAATTGAATTCATCAATAATTTTTTCCGACCACAAAAATGTACACACAATTTTGTTCAGTACTGTTCGGTTTTCTCTCACACATACTAACGCATTTTAATTTTGGGCACCTATGGTTCCTGAACCCACAAAACTTGTAAAACATTGAGTCAAATTTAAGAGAGCACAAAACAAAATGGCGTTCTCTTTGAAAAATTTTTAGTCGAGAAATTTGGCCGAGTAAAAATGGTAAACAGGAATGCCTACTTCTGATTGCTGTTGTGTTGATTTTGAAGTATTGCCGTCTAATTTTGACACATTTACTTGATTTGCCTTCCCGAACTTTTCAAATTATTTTGTACTCTGCGAGTAATTTTGAAATGTTTCCCTTTTACTAGCTTTACTATTAAAAAAGTCCTGGAACAGACCAATAAATAACAATATTTGATGATAGTGATAGTAAAAACAAGTAAAAAAGTACCAATCGGTATTGCCGACAGATGTATCCCCTTATTCTATGGTTACCATCTGTGGGTTGTTGCCAGAAGAACTTGCCATATATACAACATCTTCGGATTTAATGTAGGTATGGTAAAGAATAACTATGCGCAATCAATGGATCAAATCGGTTACTTCATTCGCTTCACCGATGGGTCCCATCTTCGGATTTGATCTGGGTTTGCTAAAGGTATTTACGATTTAAAGTTTGGATCAAATCGGATATTCCATTTCCATTACTATTGGATTTCTAAATATTGAAAATGTTGACCCTTTGTGGGGGAGGTAACCGAAGGAGTTGGCCGATATTCCCCATCTTCGAACTTGATTTAAGTTTGGCAGTTATATTACGATGTGTTTGAATGAAATGGATTATTCCCTTGGAGAATTATCGTGCGCAAACAATTTGAGCGACCAGATGTGATACATTTGGATGCTATATTCCGTCTTTTACAGACATTTTGCACAGTACTACGGGATATTTTGCAATTTGACTGCATGGCTGTCTGTTTCTGAAATTCTGTTTTCAGAAATTCTATTCAATCTTCTTTTTCCACATTTATTATACGCCACATAACCATGTTGTAAGGGTATTATAGGTTTGTGTGGGCCAAAAAGTTTCTAACGTCACGAAATATTGATCCTAGACCTACCGTTTAGTATACCGATCGGCATATCTGGACTAGCGGAGTCGATCTACACATTTGAGTACGTCCGTCTGTCTGTCCATTACAATTTGTAAACAAAGTACAGAGCACAGTTATGGACCAATCTTCACGAAATTTTGCATGTAGGATGGGTTCTGGCCATGATCGGTATATATTTAGGTGATCATGTGGACAAAAAACTTTATTATAGTTATGTCCGGAACACCACGAAATTTCACACGAGGAAGGGAAAGCATGGCTTTTTAGATGCAGAACGATTAATATTTAGCGGGTTAAATTGACCCAGACTTTGGTGTCAACAACTACAGAATTTGTATTCTGTGGCACATAAATTTCCTTCTGAAGGACATAAATTCGAGAAGTTTATAGTAACCCAAGATGATTGGTTGACCTTCAAATAGATAACAATTACATTTTGTATGTTCTCGAATGTGGGAGTTTTAATTAAATACTTACAGAGGTCTACGAATTCTGATATAGTTAAGTGTTATCATTACCACAATAGAGGGCAGAAATTTAGCACTGATGGTTATGAAATGTAGCTTGAGGTTCCGATTAATGGACCGAAAACATTTTTTTCTGGTTTTCTAATCGTTCTATATGCCACAATTATCAGCCAACCAACCAAATGACCAACTGGATGTCTTGATAATGAACGGTCAATAATAAAATAACAAAATTTGAATTGTATGGAGTATATTTTTACTCCGGGAAAAAATTAATCGGAAACGATGCCGCGGAGGAGAGCATGCAAATATCACGAAATATTTCCAAGGCTTGGAATATAAATGCACAGAAACTAATAGCTCAGTGCTTAGTTGTTTAGGGTATCATATGCTTCGCGCACTGATTTTGTTCTGCCGAAGTGTTTCTTCCACGAAAAAGTTTTATTGGATCTGGCTCGTTTTTGAAAACCCAGACGGGCATTTGCTGTTTCCTTTCAAGTTCATATGAATAGATTTATTATTTGTCCTGTAATTTGTTATTTGTTATACCTTCTCCGATCTGAGGACCGAAAGAAGGATTGATGTATACTATTTTTGAAATGAAAGTTTCTATCCCCTCGTAGAAATAATAAAATTAAATTTAACCTGCACAAAACTACTATCCCGATGTAAACCTCAGTGCCAAAAGTAAAAATTGTTTCTGCCCGGATTCGATTTTATCAGATTATATTGCATATTGGGCATCCCATACAACAGAACCGTATTCTAATATAGGTCTAACAAGATACGTAAAAATATGTCTTAAACCATGTTTCAGAAAATTCTATAATGTTATAATCAAAACCAAGGCTATCAGTATATAAACGAGTTAACTTTTATTTAACTCTCTTATATTCTAATAGCAAATAGTAAGGAAATTATTTAGTTTTTGGAAGCCGTTTCTGGTTTACGAGGCAATTGAGCCAAACTTTCTGTCCTTTCCAGAAATTCCATCACGAATGCTCTAGACCTGCTAGAGCATTCGCATCTCTCGAGTTCAACCGGTTAACCTTATAAATAAACCCTGCTGCACCGGTGTAATTTACACCAAAATTTAATATGCAGTTTATAAAGGTTTTAAGTTTTACCTTCATTTTTGTACTGTTAGAGTTTGAGGTATTTCATGACTACACACAATTGGCGAATTTCATACACTCTAACTTCAAATAGCATACATTTCAATACAATTTCATATATCGTATTTGCTGACGAATGAAATTAAATTTGGAACGTAGTCAAGAACCTTTCATGGTGAAGTCCCACTGTGATTTCGAACAATTCAAACAACGGCAACACCTCATCACATTACCGGCGATGAGAGGCAATAACTTATTCGCCTGCAACGAAGCAACGAACTCTCCCCGTCAAAAAAAATATTACAATCTCACACACATAGGGATTCACCCACATATTTATAAGACTGTGCAAACAAACAAAC